TTTAGGCTCCATCGCTGCATTTCTAAAGAGACAGTTGTTATCATTGCGCGATCGTATTAAAATCAATTCGTGACGGGCGTTAATCACCACGCGTTGATAATCTTCACAGAATCCCAATAGCATGCTGAGCGGCACACAAAAATTAAAGTCTCCGGTTCCATTGTTCACAATATCCCAGCCGGCATTCTTCAGAGACATCATTTTATCAAACGATGACGAGACATAGGTCTTGAGCGTGCTGGTTATTCTAACATTTCTGGCGCGATCAATCTCCACACCATCAAGTTCATATCGGATCTCGTCGAACATGAACGCGACACAATTATTTCCCAGTACTACATTAGATACTTCGATTTGTACAGCAGTAGTTAGTTTTCCCTCGATGTACAGAAAACTTTCATGCGGCAACGTATAGAGATCCTGTTGTTGTATTGGTATTCTTATCTCATCGCTGTGCCCGAATGTAGTGTTGGCAAACGGATTGTACGAGTGAGTCTCAATCTTGATGATGCGCTCATCGAAGATTGGCTCTTCATTGATATTGAGAATGTCAATCATTGTTTGCGCACTGCGAATCCCAAAGAGGTTAAAAATTCCACGTTCAATGCGTTGAGTTTCTTCTTCTTGCAACAACTAGACGACTGGATATCACCGAATCTCGATGTCACAGGCTTGGTGGTATCTTTTACAATTTGCTTCGATCCGTTCAGCACGAGCATCTCATGCACACTCGCGCGCGTTATCGCTGTCGTCGGCGTACGTGCAATCTGAGAGTGATTTCTTCTCCGCGAAAGTCGAGCAATTGACTGTTCTGATCCACAACGCGTACCGTTAAATCGGTAATGCTCCGTGCGATGATTGGCAGGTAAATGATCTGCATCGGCGTTTCCGATATCTTATATCCTGGTGACACGTTCGGCGAAAATTCGTGTATCGTGTGCACAGGCTTGCTGTTGCTGTACGCACCCGCGGTCACGTTGCACTCTACGCGGATAATGTTCACATTGGTAATGTTGATTGGTAGGTCTGATTCATGCCATTTTCGCGGTTGCAGTATATGCGTCGATGAGAATCCCAGTAGCGACCCAATGTTGTTGGGCTTGCTAAAGTTTATTTCGAAGGCGCATTTGATCTCACTTTTCATCGTGTTGTAATTAGCGCGGAGCACAATTGGGTATTCATCGTCTTCGTCGTCACCGTCGTCGAGTTTTTCACCACCATCATTAGCTAGGAACCGACGTGGACGTTTCCATGAAAGTGCGCGTTTCAAAAATTCACTTATGGCCTGCAATTCATACGATCCTTCGGGAATTGTAATTTCCGCGTCGTCATAGTAAAATTTATTATTCGAAGCATTCACATTCGATATCGTATTGTAAGTCTCAAAGTTCATCAGACTGAGCTCATAATCGTCGTCGCTCAGGTCTATGGCTGGAAAATAGTTTACAGCGAGCATGCTGCTCTTTCCCGTCAGCGTGAGTGTTAGCGACATGGTGGATGAAAAGCCGTTCAGCGAATACTGACTCCTCGCGACGCTTCGTCAAGCTTTTAAATTCGCACGCGTCAGTCGTCGACCGTTTGGAGAAATTGTAGACACAGCCGTCCGCAGATGCTCTGATCGTAGGTCTGATGGGATGTTCGATTATACACAGTCGTTGCATCATCTCCGAAATATCTCACCAATTCTTTAGGCGGTCGGAGATTACCAAAACTAGCGAAATATACCACACGGTTTCCTCTCTTCGCGTACGCTACCCAGTGAGTGCCGGGTCCCGCCGCGTTGTCCAGATTGACGATACCGCTCTCGTTTTGTCGTACTCCGCTTATCGGTAACGCGTTTCGCATAAAGACACCTCTAAAGTATGGTATGTGCACACATTTTGCCATTTGATCCAATTGCACGTTTGTTGTTACACCCGCAGGCATTTTTAATGCTTTTTTGACGTTTCTTTTT